TCCACAAGTTCATCAAGATTCTCTCAACCTGGTCACCGTCCTGCTTCTCTGGCGGCCCGGCCTGAGCTGCCTGAACGGCGCGTTCCAGCTCCGCGTCGGCAGCGCGTAGTGCATCTTCAAGATAGTCAAGCTTTGTCTCAAAATTGTCTTGTGGTGAAAGAGGTACGGCTGGATAACTCGGATCCACTGTGGGGAGTAGATCTCGTACTTGCTGGTTTAGGGATTCGATGCGTTTCTCGAAAGCACCGTCAGTCTTGACGGTTTCACCAGAGGACTCTTCCTGTTCGACCTCGATGGCATTGAGACCCATTTCAAGATAATCCAGTTGGTTGTTGAGGAGCTCTCCTGGCTTCATTCCTGAAACTCCAAAGGGGGGATCATAATAGTCTTCGTTCTTGGAAGGATTGAAGCGAACAATCGCATCTCGCAAAGAGCCGTTCAAATTTTCAAGTCGAACTTCCATTTCCGTTATCGACTTGACCAAAGAATTGGCTTGGCCCTGTAGGTGTAGATTCTCATCCTTCATCTTCTCCATCTCATCTCTTAGCTGGTTCTGTTCCCGGATCGGCGATTTAAGGGGTATCTCTATGGGTTGCTGACGGGGTTGCCCCCTCGTTGAGACTCCATTGGCTTGGTCGTAATAGTCATTATCGTTGAAGTAGTGGTCATCTCCGGCGCGATCCATACTGTTGCGTGTATAAGTATATAGGCTCTCCGGGCTGCCAGGCATGCCATTAAGTGGTTGAAGTGGAGGAGTGAGATCCTTCTTCTTATTCGAGGCCTTGTGGGTGAGTTGAAGAATACCAGCAGTATGTTCCAGTAGGCGTCTTTGGGGCTCCATAAGTCGCTTCTCAAGGTTGAAGAGCTCGGCCGCCAATTCTTCGCATTTCCGCTCGCTTGCCTGTCTTTCCGCCTCGGCTTCCTTTGCGCGAGCGTGATCACCGCTGTTACGACCCAGCAGGCTCCTTCGTTTCCCATCCAGCTTTCCGGGATTGTAGAGTCTCGCCATCGAGATCGCAGCATCTCGGTATTTGGACTGAATGGTCAGGTTTTGCCGGGTTGACTCGACACGCTGGGATAAGGACTGGCTTTGCTTCTTGAGGTCGTCCACCTCTTCTTGCGACAGAATCGTATACTCTTTGCTATCAGAGAGGGCTGTTTCGGTCAAGAGATGTACCTGAATCGGGTCGCGGAGGTCGACAAGCGCTGAACTTTGCGGTCGATCAGGGTTCATCTGTACACAATAGAGGTTAGAAGCCGTAGGTCCATCAGCCTCCACGACGGTGGACAACAAGCGTACCGGATTATACAATTGATTGTCCTTCTCAAAGCCGTTTATTATATCACTCCGGTAGCCCTCAACAAATATCTTTCCGCGTGGGCTTGGTGCTGGGGGTGACATCATATTAGAGCCATACCCATATGGGCTGCCCTCTCGCGCGTATGCACTCATGGTTTCGACGGGCTTAGGATCGTGGTGTGTAGGTTATGAGGACATGGGGTAAAAGTCGGACTGAAGCAGTGCATAAAGATATCAAAACACCTCCATAGAGAACAGTGAAAAGGCTGGCAAGTATCCAAAGTTTGGGGGAAAAGTGGTTGACCGGGATCCGTGTCGTGTCGTGCCGCTGGGTGAAAGCTGAGCTGAGCTCGTGATTAGATTGGATTGGATGTAACAAAGGGGCTTTGCGCCCAAGAGCCGCTGAGGCTGGAAACCCGCAGAAAATCGACAGCAATTCAGAAAAAGGTCTCGGGTTACGACCTCAAAAGAAAGAGTACAAAAAGTTGCGAGAAATGGTGCAAATGCTGGGGACAGAAAAGGAGAGGTCGGGACTGACCATGAAGAAAAGGAGGCCCATCGAGAACCCCAAGAGTATCCGTAAGGTAACTTAACTTAAGTTATCGAGTGGGACCCTTGTGAAGACCTCCACTGAAAGTTGAATTACAGCAGTCGAGCTAGTGGTCTAGCCGAGTCAGGTTGGTAGGTACGTACCGTACCTGCGTAGATCCCTTCCACACGTGCCAATGGACTTCACTTTTCAGGGGTTTCGCAGCGGCTGGACACGCTGGGACAAGGCACAGGAGGGGCGCACCCGCATTACTTAGCACGCTTGGGCATGGGTTTTGGCAGCGCTAGGCCTCATAGAGCTCGCAGTTAGTTAACGATGCACCAGTAGGAATGAGTCTTTGTTTCGAGGGACTGTCATTAAAGAGAAAAATAGATTAATTAAATGTTTTGTTCTGTTTATACATACAATTTATCCGTGCATGAGGAAACATGATGATTCTGCAGAGGCTGAGCTGACGTGTCTAGAATCCTTTATTTAGACCCCAATGCTCCCTTTTAACCGCGGCATACCGTCACGTTGCGTGGAATTAATGGCAGTGCCCAATGATCCACGCCGATATGCTGACAGTCGATGGTGGGATCGTGGCTGACGACGCCATGGATAAAGTTGCTGTGAGCATTCTCCTTCGACGCACGGAAGTCCGTTAGTTTCGACAACTCAGAGATGCATTCTATTTACAGAAAAGGATATCCCTGCTCTGAAGATCCCCTAGACATTCAAGGGATGTCATATGCTCACTGGGCTGAAACATTCCCCAGGAGCCAAGGTATGCTCTTCAATATTGCACTGTAGTCCCCCATCCCGCATTGTTTCGGAAGCCATTGGCTATTGCCCAATTGAACCGACCACTAAAGCACCTCTCGGACTTGATCCATGATTTGTTGCCCCATCGTTCTCCGGCGCTCTGCCTGGCCCTCCGTTGAAGCCTGAGCTCCGGTTGCAACAGCTGTTGTCGAGTTTTCGTCCTCAAGTCGACGCCGAAGGCCCTCAAACTCGGCACTTCGCCTATGAGAACTTAGTCCTACAACCCAGCCCGGCACTCGCCAGCGTACGAGGGCAGCCGGAAGAAGTCCTTCTCGCCACGAGTATCCAACAATCCATCCAGTGGCTGCACCCAGGACCGAGCCTGGCCATTGCAAGAGCGCGAGATGCAACGCAATGGCGTACTTGTAGGACTTATCCGAGAACGTGAGACCAACGAACGGTCGGTCCGTGGGAGGCGCCTCAGATGTGGCAACTCGATACTTGTACATGTGCGGAACCATGGCATGATATTGAGCCAGGATAGCAAAGATCATAGGAGTTGGTCCAGCCGGGATGTAGTTGAACCATCCAGCAGCAAGAGGCCGCAACACCATCGAGACAACAGGCGGTATGATGGAGGTGATGAAGAAAGTGACAGTCAAGAAGGACTGCACACAATGCTATCAGCAAAGCAAAAAAAAAAACCGTTTCATAAAAGTCACTTACAGCGAACTTGCGAGAACCCCACATTCTCTCAACGATGCGAAGGTTGTATAACGACATGGCAGCAAAAAGTACCTCTGTGGAGTTGATATAGCATAGCTGGTAGGCCAAGATTCTCCAGAACTGCCGGTATCTCCATATGTGGGTATCGACAAGAATATAGAAGTAGTGCTTGACGTCAAGAATACTCGCGATGATGGAGCCAGCTACCAGGCCGACCACACCGAGCCGAGTGACAGGTGTATTGGTGAAAGACATGATGGTGAGGGGGGGGTTGTGTCGAGATTCAACGTGACATGCTATAGGAAAAAGCCAAGTCTATCTCCCTTGGGAAGGTGAGGGGTCTCTATCAGATGCAGCTGAGATTTGATTAATTGCAATTGATGTCGAAGCTTGACCTCATATATGGCTAGTGTGTTAACAAGAGTGAAGCTATAGATGCAGCTCTAGGAGCTACCTATCCGCAAGGTGGCATTAACTATCACGTGCAGCTTCGGGTAATTATGGATCGCCCCGTATTGCCGTTGAATAGCCCGCTGACGTCGTTTTGACATCAATTTCTCATCCAATAATAACAGCCCGATCTTAGATGAAAGATTGGATATGCGCTTGACAACTTGATAGGCCGGTCTACAACAGCAGTGCTGGTGAGGAAACAGCAATTGGGCACCAAATCATCGGTAACGCATGGATCCTCGAATCTTGGTTTCTTATCGAAACCTCAACTCTCATCTCGACCGTATCTACCAGGACTTGGAGCTCTGTCAATGGAGATGCCGTGAAAGACAAAACCCAGTGAAACGATCCCACCAGAGCATGTATACGGTGGAAGCCTTATGACGATGGGAGACAAAATCGCGAAATTATATGTTGTCGTAATTAGTTGAGATCGACCCGGATAATTCACTGCTGTCCGTTGTCGTCAAATTGTATTCGATCAAGGCGGAAATAAATGGTGGTCCAAGACTCACGTGATGGTTCAAACCATAAGTACCTACCTGCCTTAGGTGTGTTACCCTGTATTGATAGTAGTGATTTCATAGGGCCACCCAACTCTTTACGATGAAAAGAATAGTCTGTATTGAGTAATTCATCCATTCCTTGCTGGTAACAATTCCTGATCCAATAATAATATATGGGATGGTTTACTTATGTACGCTTGGTTAAATAATCCTCACTTTATTCGTGTCTATGCTCTCCTTAGATGAACTTGTAAAACTGGCTGTAATCATTCATCCTGATCCTTGATCAACCTCACTTCACCTCACCTCGCCTCACCCTTACACCAAAAAAACACCCCCTCCACCAGCGGCTCACGCGGATACGAATAAAGACTCTCTATCTTATCCACGCAAAACATCGAAACTTGTGCCGATCTGTCTTGGGCCCAAGACTTTGTTTATCGCTCCCTCTCCCGATCTCCCGCTCCTAGCCCGAGAAAACAGGGCATTAATCCCGATCACGCCCTCCACTACCACTCCCTGACATCCCCAATCCAATTCAATTCACCATGCCACTCGCCAACTTTGGCACCCTGGTTCTCCACCATCTCGTCTTTGTCGCGCATTTGGTCTATTTCCATATCGCTTTTTCGCATATGGAACCTAGCGCCCTCGTGGCTCTCTACTGCGTCTCCAAGCTACTCGCCCGTCGTGCCGACGATATTGACGGCCCTCCTCCAGAATGGCCCCCGCCCGTGATCCAATGGTAGCCGGAGCCGGAGCCGAGCTGCTGCAGCCTCCGTTTCCGTCTCCGTCTCCGTCTCCGGTCCCGCCGTCCGGGTCGACGTCGGCGCTGGCTACGGGCTATGAGTCACCGTCAGAAGAGAACCCACCCTTCTTCTCCGTCGTGGCCTCGGCTCCGGCTGCTCCAGGGGCTGCGCTTTCAAGACATCATGTCGTGCCGCGGCCGGCCTTATCTCAACGGCCATCATATATCACTGCTATACCCCCTGAGCATACCAATGGCCATGCCCGTCCAGGCCGATTGCCCAATAATGAGTCTACTCTCACTTCAAATAGCCTGAACCATGTCATCGCAACAGCCGAGAAGGGCCCCGGGAACCAAAAGGTGGGCTTTCGAGATCGCATTGCCTGCTATCAATGGACTTACTTCACTATGGTATATCGACGCCCTAACTCTCTGTGACACCGCTAACTCTGTGATAGACAATGTCGACTGGAGGCGTTGCAAATATTATTTACTCATGTAAATACACTATCTCTAATCTTGCGTTACGTCCCAGAAGTAAATAGCTAACTCTTGCTACCTACCTAGTGAAGTGGGATGCACCTTGGCTGCGCGGCATTGGCCTCTTCTTCTTTTTTCTCAACATTGTCCTTTTTGCAATGAATTGTATTCTCATCTGTACAAGATTCCACCTGAGGCCAGGGAGCTTCGTAAACTCCTTCACAGACCAAGTTGAATCGCTCTTCATATCAGCTTCAGTAAGGCCCCCTCCTCTCATGGCATGCTGTTAAAACTAACACCAACCAGTTGGTCTCGTAAGCAACAGATGACTATTATCAGGGCTCAAACATATTCTGACAAACTCAGTATTGCTGTAATATTAATCAACACCTGCCAGTATGGTATTCCATACACCGGCATATGGCTGGTCCACACTATGGAGTGTGTCTTCTGGGTTTACGCTGCCCTGAGCGTCTCTCTCAGCGCATTTCTATATCTTATATTATGGTCTACTCTGTACGCTCAAGTCTACAGCTCTTCTGACCTGGCCGGCTGACTGTCATGACCAGAATCTTCCCTGTCCATACCATGACGCCAACCTGGGTCTTCCCAGCGTACCCTCTGCTACTCAATGCCCCCTTTGCAGCAAACCTCATCGCGGCTGCAGATTCAGCTGGTCATAAACTGTCAACCAACACTGTTGCAATGGCACTCGGGGCCACTGCTATTCAAGGAACCGGTTGTCTGATCGCTTTCATGATTTCGTCGGCTTTCATATACCGCCTCATGACGCAGAAGCTCCCGCGGGACATGCAGAGGCCAGGCATCGTACGCACGCACGCACTCTCTCATTTGTTGAACGTTGCTGACACTTACTAGTTCATGTCTATCGGTCCATATGGCTTTACCGCTGCTGGCATAGGTACGTTTTGAATGCCCTGCAACAGATGTATCATGTCTGACAACATCAGCTCAACTCGGCAGCCAAGCAGACTTGGTGATACCTCCAAACTTTCTTGACAACCCTCAGTTTGCCGCCATCATTAAAGTTATCAGCATTCTCGTCAGCCTCTGGCTCTGGGGACTTGCCATGTGGTTCTTCATTGTTTGTGTCGGTGCATTGTGGAAATACTCCCTTTCAGGCCATCATTTGCCGTTCCAGATGACGTGGTGGTCTTTCGTTTTCCCTAATACGGCTCTTGTATGTACCCCTTTTCACCGCAGCACTTCTCACTGTATGCTCAATGGGTCTTCTCTAGGTTACTGCTACCAGTGTCATGGGTAAAATATTTGATAGCAATGGCCTGCATATATTTGCCTCTGTCATGACCGTTGCGATCATCATCATCTGGGCTCTTATCTTTACCCGAATGTGTTGGAGTCTGAAATCGAGAAAACTTCTGTGGCCCAAGGATGGAAAATAGAGACATCAGATCGATTGCAGCATGTCACCGTTTCTGTGCCGTTCCCTTTCGTCTCACCCTCACGGTCTTATTCTTCCATCGGGATTTCAGCAGGTCCAGCATATCTGAGGTAACGAGGTCAGCATAACCCGGCGTTAGGTATCTTTAGTATAAGGGTAGTCATCTCAAACTATGTGTTTGAATTTCGAACCTCGCTACTACAATTCGTCTCAAAGACACTACTCGATCCAAACATCCAGTGGCATGACCAAGTCAACGCAAAGAAAATGCCGTTTATTTCCCTGACAGGAACTCCAGAATCTTCGACAGTGCCGTTCATAAAACCGATCCTTGTACTGCGTGCCTCTTATGAAAACAACAACATTAATAGAATGATCAAGCAAAGATATCTTGATCCGCCCATGGGAATCTGCAAACGCCGCCAAACTCCATTAGCAATACCTCCGTACTAGTACATACAACCTCTCCTGTAGTCTCCAATATAAACAACAGTAAGTGAGAAATATGGTTGCTTTATAGCCTCGCCTTGACACCTTCTCCAGCTGTAGCCTCGAGATTGACAGTTACCTCGCCTGTCTTCTCTCCGTGGCCGAAGAAGATGACTTGAACAGTCAAATCATCACTAAGAACCATTAGCAACATGCTACTTAACACCAATGCCACAACTTACCGATATCGTCGCGAGAAAGGCGAAGGAAGCGTGAGCAAAGCGCAGACCTGCTCGTCGTTGTTGCCACCAAGGGCGTTTCGAACAAGGTGTGTAGCAACATTCTTATCCTTGACGGTGAACCGATCCTTAGCATCCGGGTCAATACCCCATTGCTGAACACGGATAGGGGTCTTGTTGCCATCAGGTCCGGCGGTTTTGCTCTCCTCAACGGGTAATGGTGTTTTTGATGAGCCAAAGATCTTGTTCCATGCAGCATCGAACTGTGAGTTGGTTCCAGACTGCCCCTCAGTCTCAATCCATTTGCCTACAAGGCCAACAACCTCTTCATTGGTAAGCATCTCCCAGAGGCCATCGGTTGCCAGGACAAGGAAATCGCCATTCTCGGGGTGGACCTTGGTAGTTGTAACGATAGGTTCGGCGGTGACATAGGGAGGAGTCTTTAAAAGAGGTGAAGGGCTGCGACCAAAGAAGTTCTCGCGCAACTTCCAGGCAACATCTCTGCTCCACTTGTAGACGGCGTCTCCAAAGGCACGACTAGGCTCTAATCCACCAAGAACACGGCCATTTCGGATGACGTTGTCCTCCCCAGGATGCTCCTTGCGCATGCGCTCAACCTCTTGAGGGTTGCTACCCGTCTGGTCATCTGATAGAGCAGTGGCTGTCCACTTTCCATTCCCTGCCCTGCGACCAAGGACTGCGCGAGAGTCACCAGTGCATGCAACCCGTAGGAGGTTGCTGCGGCTGTCGTAGAATGATAGCAGGGCGCACGATCCTGATAGGGCGGGCTGTAGAATCTCGGCTGCGACGGTCTTGGAACCGCCCTTGAACACCTTCTCCACGCTCTTGTGGACGATTTCGTTATCCAGATTGTTGAACCCGGTCTTGATGGCCAGATTTACTGCATCCTCAGAAGGAAGATCGCCGGAAGCCTTCTTGTAGGTTTCGTTCAACTCGCGGGCGACGTAGTTAATCAGGCTTTCCCTCAGGGTTGCAGAAGTAGTCCATCCCCTATGTCGTGTGAGTCAACACCCTCTTTTTAAACTGTGACACAAGCTCCACCACAAGATGAGCACTTACGAATGGCCGTCGAAAACACCCCAGAACATCCAATCGCTGTTATCTGTCTCGACGGAAGATCTGCTGGGGACTTGAACAATCTTCTCGGCGTGGTCATCCTCGATTGGGTCGTTACTGGGCAGCTGTACCAGGTCGTAACGTGTGACGCCCTGTCCTCGGCTGACCGAAAAAGACTGTTCGAGGCGACGAAGCTTCTGCGTTGCTTGGTCGGGTGTCAACATTTCGACAATACGACGCCCGTCGTCACTAGTTGCCTTGGAGATAGGCCCTTCGCCAACAATGGTGCCTTGTCTAAGTTCGTCGGCGCCCACTACGAGAACAGTCCGAGTCGGTAATACATCCGCTGTCTGAGTCGAGGCGAGGCTAGTCCTAGAGCCTACAACCGAACTGGGGGTGTCAGAGCTGTTGAGAGAGTACCAGGCGCCGTATCCGACGACGATACTGGATACCAGCGCGACTGGCAGGCGACGAAAGTACATAGAGGACCTTAGGGGAATGGCACCTGCAAGGTTATGGCGAGCGCTTCGACCGTGTGCACTAGCCTTGGATCTTGCCTGGGCGAGAGTGAAGGACGAGACGGCGAAGCCACGATGAGGAGTGCGGGAGAGAGTGCGGACGGTCGAAAGTGAGGTCGTCCTTAAGGCTCTCACTGCGGCTCGATTCATCTGGACGACGGCGGGGGAGCTTAGGGCCAGCCTGGCAGAAGATTAAAGAATTGACCTATTGGTTATGAAGAAAAGGCAGGAATTATTGATCTCTTAATATCAAAAGATAACTCAAAGTAACCGATGACAAAGTAGACAAAGTCAAGGGGTACACAGTAACAGAAGGACGGTGATGGTGATGGTGATGGATGGATGATGAAGGTGGACGGGATGGAAGCTAGTAGTGGGTCTGCGCGCTATCTTATCGCGACCATTCCCCTCTGAGATGGTAATTATAGCCTGAGGTGAAGCTTGGTCTTAAGTGACTGCGAAGATCGGAGCTTGATGTTTTTGAATGAATAGGTACTAGGTATTTAATATTTGCATGATCTGACTTGTCTGCCTCTTCTTTTCATATTCATACAAAACATTTGCCTAGTCTTCCACTGCGATTTATCCCGAGCCCTCTCACACTCTCACACTCTCACACCCTCATAGTCACGTCTCATGTCTTTAGTCTAATCGGTCAGCCCCACGTGAGCCAGTGCGATAGCAGCCGACCTGAGCTTAACCCACCTCAGTGTAGGTATAAACCGACGTCTACCGAGGCCCTCGCTCTTCACTGCTGTTTCAGAGGTTCTGTGCTGGGTGACCCTGAGTCCTGAATGAGTCAAGCCTTGGCCAAGGTAGTAGAGTAGTCCTGTGAGCTTTACCAACCCTGGATTGTCCTCTCACATGTTAGTGGGAGCCCTTGCACATTGTCACTACCTACCTAGCAACATTCACTCACTTGATGGCATTGAACCCTCATGTCTCAGCATCCGTATTCATAAACTCATTGAGTGCCTGCAGATACCAAGATTTACCCAATCGAAATCTCCTCCAATGGATCAACAGCAGGAGGCTTCATCAGCCCAAGCGTCACTCACTGGAGCTGACCGCATCAGAGCTCTGAAAGATGAAACTGCTATCTTTACTGCATTCGACACATACCCGTGGACAAAAGATAAAAATTTTATGGTAATACTATATCGCATAATATCATATGATCTATAACTCGGTCACTGACATTAATCCCAGTCTGGTCTCTACGCTATTCTTGGCGAACCAGGCCAGCAAAACCCTCAAGCATCTCTCGCAGATATGGCTATCCACGCTCGAATATTTTACTATGCTCAGCGCATTGGTGTCAGCATTGAATTCAGCGCCTACAAGGCGTGGCTTGCCAGTAATCCTGACTATCAACCCCCAGATGTTCTGCCTGAGGAATATCGTCAGCGAGACGTAGCCAATGCTTCTCCAGTGCCGGTCCTAGCCTGGCAGAAAGCTGCGCCAAAGACAGATCTATACGTTGATCGCAAAACCGCTGCTGCTCAGTCTGGTTCACAAGATCAACCAAGTTACCCAATGGGATTTGCCGAAATGATCAAACTTATCCAAGAAGGCAAGCCTGTGCCTGGAATCCGCCAGATCCCAAACACCGTTGTCAGAGATCCTGTAGGTCCAAATCTGGGCGACGACAGCTCGCTTACTGTTCGAATCTGCTTTGCTAACTTTGATATAGGCTGTGAAGCCAGTTGGAGCAAGAGCTGTTCCCAGAAAGCCGTGGGAAAAGGACACCACAGTTGACATGCCTGCTCTCCCAGATCTACCAAAAGCACTCGACACAGAATTTCCCCCAGTACAAGACGATTAGCCTGTTTCTTTGGCAGCTGGGGCTTCTTAGCTTCCAGAAAGCCATCTATCAATATCATATAGCATCAATGGCGTTGGGAGTAGCGATTGCTGGCAAAAAATACATTTGATTCTGACGTTGAGCGGAACAAGATCACTGAGGTACTATAGATATGGGGACGTACTATCACAGTGTACGCGTAGGAGAGGCATAAGTTATAAGATAATAAAACCATCAATCGTTTATTAAAAGGTGTTTAATAACTACCGTAACAGCCCGAGTGATATAGGGAGACGCCGAAACCCAGCATCCGCATAGAAAAACAACATACAAATTCGTGAACTCTCCTTGACCTCTAAGGGCATCCTTTCGGATCACCATCACTCATACTCGCTGATTGACTGAAGAAGTGTGGCTCTAGTATCCCACCAGGCGCGTTCCCGCTCACCCTTCGAGGAGCAGCCTATGAGCGGTGGGATAAGAGGGCCAGTCCTGCGAGGGCTGCTGTGGTGATTAGCATCTGCCATCACCTCCATATTGCAAAATCGATAACCATAATGTGTCCAATGCACCCGAGTAAGCTGTAGCTAGCTGGGCGTAGGATGACGTGTGATCTGTAAATTACTTGCGCTGGGAGATGTTTCTTAAGAAAGGTCGACATATTCTGGTTTGTTGCGTGATTTTGACGAGTGGAATGATTGGTGATTCAGATAGGGTTCCTTGACACGGATGAAAAAAAGAATGAAAAGAAAACAAGGGTAGAATGGGGGAGGCTCTGCATTTCCAGCAGGCAGATGTCCTCGTCGATGTCAAAGATCGATGGGCAAGGTAGAAAGACTTTAGCGGTAACCATTGTTGTAGCGTGGCCCAGGTCCCATGCGTCCGCCCATCCCAGGGCCAGCACCAGGACCAGGTCGAGTTGCGACTGCGTGGTTGGTACAAAGCATACCAACTCGGGAGCCAAACTTGGAGCCTCGCAGTGAAACCATGTGCTTTCGGATGTGGGCAGCAACGATTTCGCGATGCTGGGGGGAGGCATTGTTCAAAATCCACTGAATAAGATAGTTGCCGTATTGGTCACTTGCAATGTCAATCAGTGGGATGCGAGTACGGTCACGACGACCTTCACAGACTCGGTCCAGGTAACGACCAAGGAATTCTGCACCCCCGATTTTGAGACACTTCTCGACAACCTTCGAAGCGAACTGATCGGTACTGTACTCAGCGGCGTAACGAATAACATGGTCAATAGCTCGACTGCGATCTGGGGGAGCACCGTGTTCACAAATATGTTGGATACACCAGTTGCCAAATTGCCCGTGGGCGACGATGTCAATGTTGGCAAGGACTTCTTCGATACAAGGGCGCTGTTGATATAAGTTAGCTTACAATTTTGACGATCAATGGGTTAACTTGCCTTATCCTCCTCGAGGCAGTTTTCAAAAATGTTCTGCACGACAAGACTACCGGTCTCTCCCAGGGCAACCTCATGCCACATGCCCCTCAGAGCGTCATTGACAAATTTCATGATTTGTGGGGGTGACTCTGTCCAACGCAGCTCGAAAAGCTTCTGCCAGACGTGGCAAGCATAACGGTGAATGACCGTCTCAGGGATTCGACGAAGAAGTTCGTGAACCATGATAGCCTTGAAGTTTTCAGGAACAGAGTCAAATGCCTTTTGAACGACGTGACATCCGAAGGGATCCATAGACAGATTCAGCGTGTTGCCACGGATGGCTTCCGCGATGTTGATGACTTGGTCAGGTGTCCCATGCTCAAAGCATCGCTGCACCAAAAAGTTGCCAAAGCGATTGATCATCAATGGATAGGCCTGGGCGACGATCGCGTCGACAATTTCGAACTTCTGGTCAGCGGTTCCGACCTTGAGTTTCTGTTGCAGGAAGATGGAAGCTTGTTGGTCGTTGTTGCAGACGATCTTGTCAACAATGTACTTCCAGTTGCAGTTCACGTTGCGATCCAAAAGACGGCGATAATTCAGCGGCTCTGTAGGAGCGAGATAGGTCTGGTCATCGGGCGCCAACACCTGTCTCGGGTTTAGCGTTCTGTGTGAGTACAACGCAGGCAAACCAACCTCATTCTTCCATCCAGAACCAGTGGTAAACTCGGAAGCGTGAGGTGAGAGAGGTGTTCCAGCAGGGTTGGGATATGGTGGATACACACCCATCGGACCCAATCCTTGGGGAGCATTCGACGGTGCTCCAGGTGCAGGACTTCCCATGTAGTCGGACTGATTCATGGGACTATTAAATCCTCCTCCGTAGCCAGGTCCGAATGGCTGAGGTGAGTTGAAACGGCCCTCGAAGCGGTTTCCTCGACGCCCATAATTCGAGCGCATAATCTCCGTATCTGGGGTCAGGCGTTCACTCCGGTATCCTTCCATCACGGGAAAGGGCGTTCCGGTGGGTTCAGAACAAGGTTGGCTGAAGACACGTCCTCCGAGCCATTTTCCTGGGGTTGGTTCAAGGACTGGTGCCTGGACTGTGTTGGCAAAAATTGGCTGATTGCCCCAGATCTCTCGGGTACGATTGAATGTCGAAGCGGACATAGCGTCACTGGTGTCAGAGTGAGTGTCGTCGGGAGGACCCCAGGTATTATCGCGAGGGGGATAGACTGGACCGCGGGTTCCGAAAGGCGGCACTTCAGCTGTGGTTTTCACAACTCGTGTCTCGGCTAGTTCTTGGTCAAGCTTCGAGATCTCGTTCTGTGCCTGGGCGAGCTGTAACTTCAAACGCATTACCTCCTCGCTCTCGCTACGAGCTTCATCCAAGGTGGCACTTGCAGGGCGCGTGGTAGGAGCTGTGCTTGGGAAAGCATCAGTAGCAGGAGTGACAGGAAGAGAGTTGCTCGAAGATGCATGATCAAATGCCCTCGCATACTGGTTGGTTTCGTCCCTGAGCTTGTTGGTATCGTTTTGCTGATTCAGGGCGGATTGCTGCTCGGAGAGCTTTGCAAGGAGTTTATCCACAGGGTACACCTGATCGGTGGTCGAGCTATCATGGCTGAGTTTCATCTTCTAACACGGTCAGCAACTTGCAAACTAGACATCTCGGACAGATGCTTGGTTTCACCTTTGGAAGGCCTTGATTCGCCAACTTCGAAGTAGATAGAGCGGCGATGTTCTTCTTTGCAGGAATGCTCTTGCCAGCTTCCTTCTGCGTCTGGAGTTAGTAGGTGGTTCTTGAATGTCGGCAAGAAGAGATGCCAACAAGGATGAAGTTTATCAAAGAATGTTGATGCGGGAAAAGTCTACTTACCGAGCCCGGGGCAAGTGGCAAGGGATTTGAGTTTTCGGCCTGCACATTGGCAGCAAAGATGGGGACAGTCCGCTCAGGAGAGACTCCAGTAGACCCAGCTGAAGACATGATGTCGCCACAATTGGTCAGAGCCTCGACGAAGTGATTTTGGAGATGTAACAGTCAAATAAGAATTGTAGATGACAGAGTGAACTGTAGGGAACACACGATGAGATAGTGAACGAGTGTAGATGTGTCAAGTTTGTGGTCCAAGAAGGAGTTGATTGTGAAAGGAAGAGAGTGTAGAGAGGAGAGAGTGAAGAGGAGGAAGAAAAGGAAGAGAGGATGGTGGTGAAGGAAGGGGAGGTTATTCACTGACGCAGATTTTTCCACGGGGCCAAGTAGGCGGGAAGTGCAGATGAAAGAAGCGTAGGAGCGGCAGGTGCCAGCAGCCGACAGGAACAGCCTGACCACCAGCGTTCCTTCCACTTTTATCGCAAGTGTCAGTCGCAGCGGGCACCCGACTGACAGTGGAAGCAAATAGGGGCATATCATAGAAGACTACCTATGCGGCTTTACAGTGACATGGCACCCTGGATTCTGGAATTTGTTCGAGTATACAGGGAACTCAGTATTCCTAATCGTGTACCTATGATTCAGTATCAAGAGACAGATCGATATATGCAGGACAGGCTCGGCAACACATGGCGCACATGCCGACCTGAGCTCCTAACGTTGGACTTGTATCAAAGGTTTTCGGTATTCCAGTTGAGAGTTCTTGCTCTAGTTGGGAGTCAATGTCAATAGGAGCTGAGGTAAGAGCGAAAGGGATAAACCGAATGTCAGTCCTTGACCGCACGCGACACAAGGTTAAAGAAAAGGCTTATGGTCAAGCAGCTGCGGTAATCAAAGAGCTCACCGGCAACCTTTGACACAATTTTTATTTGGCGGAGTTGGTTTGTGTTTGTAAATGCATTTGTTACCTCAGTGCAGATCGTGTGTTCTTTGGCCGAGGCGTCACTGTTAGATTATTCAGGAGTCATGCGAAAAGCCTTCGAGTCGTTGGAGTATATCTATAGTCGAACAGCCCACTAGATTGCACATATAGGTAGAGGCATAGCACAAAGAGCAGACATTTCGAAACATGATTGGTGTAATGAGTACTGATACAAATGATTATACATACTGCGATAGAAGGCCACTTGGAGATTTATTTGCTCTTACGGCCACGTTTATCCCTCAACTAAACTTTATGAATCGTACAACTGGCGTATGGATTGGCACATCGGCCAACACTCATGATTCATGGTAAGATGTCTGTCTCTTTGCCGCCGGGGCCAACATTGGAAATATCGTTGTCATTATTGTTTGATTTATCGCTTCTTGTGAGTGGGAGCTGTAGCGTGTTAGTAGCTTTTCCCGGCATGGTACAATCGGCATACCTGGAGGTCCCTTCTTCTTCTTGGGTGCACTCTTTCCGCGGAGCTTGAGCCTAGAGATCACGCCGTCAGCACTTGCACATATCCTTGAGGTTCCCAATATCTCGCTTACTCTTCAATGTACTCGAAGCGATCCTCCTCACCCTCGTCCCAGGTAGCCAGTGTCGGTCCGAACTCTCGCTTTAGATCCTTGATTGTCGCTGTCTTTCGAGGATAGTAAGCCGCCATGGCCGGTCCTCTTAATCGCTGTCGTAGGACCTTGTTGCCCATGCGTACACCTTCGGGGTTGTATGAGGTCGCGAAGACCTGGCATTGCGCCTACGGAATGTCATTAGATGGACCCAAATCATGTCATGGAGAGCCTCACCTTTACCAAGTCCAGTATACGCGCTCGTGGGACACTCATCGTGGCGTCTTTGGCATCAATCGTTGCTCTTGTTAACTTTTTTGAAGCTTGACTTGACGTCTGATGTGAAGTTGAGCAAGACACTTGATTGGCCTGAGCGAGGGTCTAGTGGGCCTCTCAGAGGAGTGCCTTGAGACCAACCAAAACTCCGATACCTCCCTCCACCATTGAAGATATTGGGTGCTACCTAACTACTAAGGTAGCGACTAACTTAGATTTACCAGTTGGAATTCGACCAGATATTACATAAGATGAGTACTTGCGGAATCTTCTACAGAATAAGTTATTTATTTTAAAATTATATTGTTAATACTTAAAAAGTGTTTATGAAAATTCAATGTTGTCAGTGGCACAAGTGCCGGAAGACTTACCTACTAAGTTAACGGCTTTGAATTAGGGAGCGAAAAATACACCGAGGAGTTAACTTATGTAACTGCCTTGTGAAGCCAGAACTCAAAAAAGACCCAACTTAAACTCATCTTCAATAAGATATCTTGAAGTTGTCCAAGAGTTTTCATCTTACGGTGCAGATATCAAGTTTCTTGCCAGCTGAGAACTCTCATAGCTGAATTGTGGGTCTTGTCCCTAAGATTTGATGGAACATCGAAAAGCACAGGACTTTCATTATCTTTTTTTATTCGCGTCCCATCATACCAAAATCAATATGTCTAAAAGGCCGAGCCAAGATGATTACTACGAAGAGGATGAACCACGCAAGCGCGTGCAACTTGACTCAGCAAAAGCTCCTCTGACTGGCACTATTGCTACTGTCGCGCCCGGTGTGTCGCGCTGGACCGTGGCAGACATCCATGCATGCTTACCACCTCTGCCACCGATAAGTCCAGAACTAGAGGAGCAAGTTTTTAGACATCCTGGGCTGGGGACACCCAACTATGAAAGGCTGGAGTGGTATGGTGATGCGGCTCTCGAAATGATATCCACGGAGCTTGTCTTTGAAACTTTTCACTACCTGCCCGCCGGACGAAGTAGTCAACTTCGTGAACAACTGGTCCGCAACATTACGCTCTCAGACTATTATCGACAATACGGCATGCAGCATAAAACAAAGATCCCCACACATATGGGCTCAATGGCGGATTTGATTAGTCGAGGCGGGAGAGACAAGGAGACGATCAAGATCCAAGGCGACGTTTTCGAAGCATACGTTGGAGCAGTTGTAAAATCTGATCCCCAGCACGGGGCCGCGAATGCCGTCGCTTGGCTCAAAGCACTCTGGGCTGGGACAATCAAGGAGCAAATCAGGCAAGCAGAGCAGCATCGTAAAAACGACTTGAAAGGCCAGCGATTTCTGGCTCGATCCTCTGCGGCTAGACCACCCACGGAACAGACAGTCACTACACACGCCATACCAGCCGCGGAGCCCAAGGAGCCATCGTCGAACAAAACCCTCCTTTCTCAAGCAATCGTTGTCAGGGGCATCAAACTTCGTTACGAACAGATGCCTTGCAACAAGAAGGATAAGAACCTCAACCTCCCCTTGTTTACTGTTGGCGTCTATCTGGATGGGTGGGGAGAGGCCGGGAAGCTGCTAGGTTTCGGGACGGCTCTCAGCAAGAAAGAAGCTGGCGAGAAGGCAGCAAAGTCTATCTTGGACAACAGGAAGCAATTGAAGGTCTATGAAGCCAAGAAAGAGGCTTGGGTAAAGGAAGCACAGGAAAAGGAGCCAGCTACTCAGGCATAATGCTGGATGGGAGAATTATGGAAACATGAAGCCGGGTCACGATGAGATTATGAATACATTGCATAGTTCCTCAAATCATAAAGTAATTGCTAGTAAATAGTGAATAACTCCATAAGTAAAGAAATACATAATAAAAGGCGGAGGTGTTCAAGCCAGAAAATGTCTATCCTCTGATCAGTTGACGATAACTCTACGGAGGTTCGTCTTAAAAGTCTTTGCCGGCCAAGAGGGATCGGCAATAACCCCTATAAAGGCTAACAGGGTATCCCTACTAAATTTATTAGTTATCTTCTATAAGCGATTTCTATACTATTCTTTTCCTTTTTAATTAATAAAGATAATAATATATATAGATATTATAACCTAGGCTTTAATAATAATACTAAAAGTACTTAATAAAGAAATAAA